CATTTTATGTAGCAACGTGGGGACTCAGAGACGACAGAGAACGTAACAGTCATTTTTCGGAATAGAATATAAAAACAGGCATCAAATTATTTTGATTTTGCTTCATTCAAGAAATAAAATATCTAAATCTGAAACGAAATATCAATTTTCTAAAGAAGAGAAAACATGTCAATAATAATTTTTAATTTTGTCCCATTTAATTCCCATTTAATTGACTGAATTTCAATAAAACAAACAAACATGTATAACCCACTGAAGGTCAGAGAAATAATTTATTCATATAAATCAGGAGTCGGCGAAATACAGCACGCGTGCCACACGTTGCACACCATGCAATTTCCAATGGGACCCAGCCGTAAATGACATCACGACGTCCGAACCAATAATTACTATAACGCAAAGAAGATATTTAGCTGTTTCAATTTTAATATATACTAAAGTATATATACTATATATTACTATATAAAATATATTGTAGAACAGGTATATTGACCTTGACTTGTATAAAGATACGTATGTTGTTGGCCAACTGAATGATTTTAAATCCCTAAGTCGGCACATAGCAAAAGGTTGCAAACTCCTGATATAAACACTTGTTTCTTGAAGGAAAAATATACTGATTCATCAGTTACAATCCGTTTAATATGTCATTTAGAATTCTCATTTTTAACATTATATCTATTTCTTTTTGCTATAACTTTATTTTAACGGGTACACGTGTTTGAGTTGACATTCCTGAGCTTTTATTTCATTGAACTGTTAAACTGGAATCCACCCATAATATTGTTTCATGATGACGGAACAGAAATTGAGTTTTCACCAGTTGTACTCTTAATGATGCTCCTTACCTTACCAAGCTCATTCCAGACCTCAGATGGGAAATACGGCCAAATTGTTCAAATCGTGTAACGGCGTGGAATAATTGTCCATCCCAATAAATGTTTACTATCTAAAAAAACCCCACTAAACTAATTGAGTTTCTTTTTATCAGCTTTTCAGATAAAGCATTTAACCGTTTTAACACCGTTTTCGTAAGAATCTCTGAAAAATCCTTTGAGGTATTTAGCTGGTTTATACTGGATTAGATTTCGAAAATATAGAATTAAGGTCCTTGTTAAGGTGAGGAAATTAGTTTCAAATGATATCGTTAGTAAGTTTTAGTTCCACTAGATGATCAGCTGACTTTTGGTGATTTTTCATAGCGAAAAGACGTATTCTTTTTGTCCGCGTCGACATGTAAGTACCTCAGCTACAGACACTGAATGTTGCTTTGAATTCTTTAGATTTAATTTCCTTTCCCATTTTCCCTTTTGTAAAATGTCTTATCAAAATATACTTTTTAATATTTATTTGTTTAAATTCTATGTCTTATTTTTTACTTGGACTCACACGAGTCCTCCATATATTGTTTGCGGTCCAAATGTACCAGAAGCATAAAAATGCCAGCAAAAGTGTCGATATTCGCTACACGACAGACGAGTATTTTCTATGAGAATGTTAATAAGAAGCATATAGATCCGTTTTTATATGAATTCTGTGTGAGATACAGGGGTAATAATCAGTTGGAGAAGGGGACCTGATCAAAAAGAATACATAACAATCAAGACTGTATTTTCAAATGATTAATATGGAAATTAGATATCAGATCTCTCTGAACAAAATAAAAGGTTTTGTCTGAAATTGTTTTTGGATTTCCTTAATGCCATATGTAATGTGGCGCGGGGTAAAGGTTCTCTACACGGAAAAAGAATCGGTGAACCAAGTTTCGATTTCGGCTGAGATTACATATGCTTATTTCACACGAAATTACATGGGAAAGGCATAAAACTATGTCTCCCTGCGCTCTATCATACCTGACCTGTCACTATGCCTGAAGCAAAAGAGAAATAGAGAATAATTACTAAACAACGTCCCTCACTTATCTTTTAGTTTTTAATCATTTTACTCCAAAGAAGGTGATAAAGCCACTAAGATGTAAGGGATTATTGGGAGTGAAAGAAAATGAGAAGACTTCAGAAGGATCCGTAAACTGAATTCTAAACAAGTAACTAAAGATAAAGACGGGGAACGTTTATAAATTGTCATTAAAAAAAGTAACTGTTACCGCTATTTTCACCCTTGTTCGGAGGAACTACATTCACTGGCCCTGTCGAGGCAAACCTTCTCGGCAAGAACACGCTATGTCACTTACATAGTAGCAGACTACCCACATTTCGTTCGTATTTCATCGGTGAGTAATACGTTCCACTGGAGCAGCTTCTTCCCAAGAACCAATGCTCTGTGGAACCGATTCCCAAGAGGATATTTTTCTGATTGCTACAATTCTAACCTGTTGAAGGCTAGGGTAAACCATTATCTTTCACTCCTATACACGCAAATGACCTCCTAACATAAATCCGGGCTTTGTAAACGGCGAACTTTACTGTAAAAACAAATCATTCATGTGCATAGATTCCTTGGCTTTTCTCTTAGTGCAAATTTCATTTTTGATCATGAGCGATGACGAAATGAAAGAACACATTCGTGCCGTACAAAATTATTAATACAAACCTTTATGCAATTGCATCCTCACTTTTTTAGAGGTTATTATTTCTGTTTGCCATTATATTCCGGTGCAAACTATTTACTGAACGTTTGCCTTGCCAGTCACCCTTAACTGAGTTGAAAGGATTCCAATCAATACACTGATATTTACGTTTTCTGAACTTTTTTTTTGGGATCATTTTCCCCAGCAGCCTTCAAATCCTCCATTGCATTTAAATAAATTTCTTTCTCCTTTCCGATTTTCTAAATTAAAATCCAACCTTACAATCTTTCGTAAGCTAAAACTACGTTTTTTTTCACAAATATTTTCCTAGCATATTTTAATGTAGTTTGAACAAAATCATCAAATCATAACTGTAAATGCTTTCCATTTGACATAAACTTGTGTAAAACGCAGTATAAAAATATACATATATACATATATATATATATATATATATATATATATATATATATATATATATATATATATATATATATATATGAGTAGTAATCCGTTGATATATAATCCAAGTGAATCCTTTTAACACAATATAAAATATTAAATATTAAACCTGATTCATACATAGAGATCAATGTTTTATAATAAACAGTTTAATATATTTCATACAATTTAAGATACCATCATATAAATGATCATTGTCACCTTGTAAAATTAAATTTACAGGATTTTCACGTCATACAGGCAAACGTGTCTGTATTGACTGAAAACCTCCTATCGGGTGGCATTTAAGCTAGCTAGTACGGAGGGCTCTTGATTTGGCCGTCATCACAAAAGGTAGGGATGAGTAGATGCGATAGGCAACAATAAACTTCCAAAGAACTCAAAATTGATCGCTGCATTTAAGTATTGCATTAATATTTAAGCTTATCTCTTAAAAGTTCAACGATAATTATTTGCTGCCACTTAAAGGCAATTTGATGTACATAGGTCCTTACTTTTCGTACAGACAATTATTTTATTTCATGGGTGACTTTCGCTGGATTTCGCAATTAATTTCTATTATTCCCAAATTTATGTAAAAGTTATAACAATTGTTATCGTACAACAATATTCGTCGCAAAAACCACGTAATAACATCGAAAACAATCGCAACAATGAAAAAATTTGGAATCTAAAATTACAAAAGAGTCCGGATCCCGCCCTGAATGTTTTAAATTTTCTCACGGAGTCGGCCTGATTCCAAAATGGTATTATATATTGGGCTACGGTCTCTAGGAGTAAAATTAAAATGTGTGATACACTGATACACTGATATTCGCATTTTTTATGTAGAAAAAAGATGAGATATTTAAAAATTAGAGAGTTATTTCCCTTTAATTGAAAAAGTGTGACACACTGACATTCACATTTATATAGATTATCAATCAGGCTCGAACACAGTCGGAATCATAGAGTCATTGCAAACACTATGATACTTTCATTACCTCCATAACATGTATCTCACCAGAAGTCCTATACTGGTTGCCACGCAAGTCTGAGTAGCTCAGTATGCACAAGTATTTAACCGATAGCTGGGGGATAAACATTGGATTCATACCATTAGCAATGATATTTGTACGAAAGCAAATGTAACGAAACGCGGCTGAAACACGAAGTCGTTTCCCTGAATTGTTATTCCGAGGCTTTTCTTTATTTTAAATTTCAAATATTTCACAGAGTTTAGAGTCTAATAAGTTGACATGAGTTTATTTTACGTATTTGCAGGTTTTGTAATTATCGGCCATTCTTTTTAAAATTGAACGAGTTTTAAAACGTATTATTAATATGTAAGACTATCGTTTTTAATCAGAGAACACGACAAAGCTTCTATTTTGGCATTACAAGAAGGTCCACTTAAATTCCTTAATATTCCCTGCCTTAATAAAAGAGTGGAATATTTCTTGCTGTTGTAACAACAGACTCATTTTTCTGAATAGGATACAAAAAAAAGGCATCAATGCATTTTGCATATGCATTATTTAAGAAATAAAATATCTAAATCTGAAACGAAATATCAATTTTCTAAAGAAACGTAAACATGTCAATGATATTTTTTATCTTTGTCCCATCTAATTAACTGAATTTCAATAAAAAAAAAAAAATTCAGCGACCTCCTGAAGGTCATGGAAATAATTTATTCATATGAACACATGTTTCTTGATCAAGGAAAATATATGAAAGCATCATTTACAATTTTTAACCCCGTCTAATATATAATTTAGAAATCTAATTCTTAAGATGATTTCTTGTTTCTATAAGTTTTATTTTTAGTGGGTAGACGTTTTTGAGTTGACATTGTTGAATTTTATTTTCTTAAGCAGAGCAATTGTCATCAACCTACAGAGACCTGGTTATCCTAATAATGGAATTTCTTTCTATAGGGGACACTACTACAGATGAAATGTACCGTTGTCAATTTCAACAGGAAAGATCATCACGATAATCCGAGCCTCAACCAATTAGCACTTAAGGAATGTACATCTATCTATCTATCTATCTATCTATCTATCTATCTATCTATCTATCTATCTATCTAAGTCTGTTCGTATCTATCTATCTATCTATCTATCTATCTATCTATCTATCTATCTATCTAAGTCTGTTCGTATCTATCTATCTATCTATCTATCTATCTATCTATCTATCTATCTATCTATCTATCTATCTATCTAAGTCTCTTCCTATCTATCTATCTATCTATCTATCTATCTATCTATCTATCTATCTAAGTCTGTTCGTATCTATCTATCTATCTATCTATCTATCTATCTATCTATCTATCTATCTATCTATTTGCGTGTGTGTATGTGTGTGTGTTTTCATTTGTACAATCATTCACCTTTTTCAATTTTACACAGGTTTTTATTTTGCATTTTATTTGTATCTGAACGATTTTGTATTCGCTTTCATTGATAAACACGCATGCGCCTCCACCCCCACACCCATACAGGCCGAGTAAATATCGCCTAGTATCACGCATGCGCAAACGCATGCTTGCCCAGCCATGCACATGAATAGCGAAGAGAAATTATAACCATGAATTACGCGATAGGAACAGGGCTGACTGTGAAAGACACAGAAGGCGAATTGTTGATACCAAGTAATTCTGTTTTAATCTAAAGGGCAAGTCTGCCTGTTTGGGATGTGCTGACTTCGAACACTAAAGACTTTCTTATTGAAACCCCATGTGAAGAATAGCAGGAAAGCTTTATCGTTTTGCCAATCCATCCCTGTTTGACGTCAGGTCAGCTCGATTGGAAACGGTTTCTTAAACAGATTTCAGTGATGTAAAAGGTTCAGTTTATTCTTTTTCTTTCTTTTTTCTTTTTTCTTCTATTTAAAGGATAAGGTTTAAGTTGAAATGGCATTGACAAAAATCATGAACATAAATTCAGATAAATGAATGGATATTTTGTAAAATCTCGGTTCAAATTGGACAAGTGACTTACAATATTTAATGATGATAATCAACCACTGCGAGTCCATGCCAAGAAAAAGGCCTTCAAGGCTTCTGCGTAATAGATTGTTTCTGCGTTTTTTTAATGGAATTTATCAAGCAACCTTTTGCGCCACCTTTTAACGTTTCTTTTTCTATGTGTCTCAGCCTCTTTCATTTTTTGCAGTTAAAAATCTCTACGATAGTTCTTATATTGGTTTGTTCTCTGCTCCATTTTGAGCTCGTTATATCGATTGAAGTACTTTTTGTCGTTTCCTTTCATATTTCTGGTGATACAGAGTTTGCTGTCAAGCGACATTGTTAATTTCTGCTTTTTATATTAACCCTTCATTGCTGGCTTCATTTTACACTTTATTTTCAAGTTTATTTTTATCTTTTATAAATATATTTCAGCAATTTTTATTCAGTGATCAGCATAGATGCATTATAAAACAAAAGTGGTTATTGTGGGTGTGGAACAAAACCCAATTTGCCTGAGCATGACGTTTGCAACAGATATTTATGGACTTATAGTCATTATTATATCGCTTTGAAACATAGCGAATCACATAGATGAAGAAGAAAAATTAAACGATAGTTTTCATGAGGAAGTCAAAGAATTCCATGTGAGCAACGAAAATTGTCTAAAGCAAAACAAGAACTACAAAGTAACTGATAATCAGAAAGTGACATAATTTTGTCGGACGCACAATGAAGCAAGAAAACTACAGAAAATTTAACCCTTACAGGACAATACTGAAAGCAAGAACAGCGGCGAGAAAAAGAGATAAAGTGTATAATGATTGTATGAAGCAAACATGGACGAATAGGAAAAGCAATAAGAACAATATCGTTTGAAAGTAAACTGAGAAATGCTCAGTATATATAATCTATATAAAGAATTGTATGACTGGGCGAGAGAACATGAACGATCTAGGATTGTAAACGGTAAAAAACATACATGATCTTTTAACACTGTTCACATTATTCGGACTATTGTCCTCATCTTTGTTGCCATATTTATTACAACGTTGCAGAAATATAGACAGATCTTTAAGTTTTGAAATGTCTTGGCACATTGAAAAAAATTCCAGCTGTCACAATTATGTTCCCTGTCAGTACACACACACACACACACACACACACACATATATATATATTATGTTTATACGTTAAAAGCGCTGTTTATAATAAGCAATATTAAAACATTTATTATAAACGGCATTTATTTAAATATTTATATCTATATAAATATCATATAAACAGAAAATATATTAAAATAATTGTCAGACATAGTCCATTTCATTATATATATATATATATATACATTTTGTCCATGTCATAATGTGTGACGTCATTTGTTTACATTTGATACGCCATGAGCAGATATGAATGTACATGAAAGATTCATAGAGTATTTAAGTTCAAATACAGTAAATTCGACCTTGCTAACCGAACGCGCCTCTGTGGCCAAATCGGTAAAGACACGTCAAGCTAAATGACGGTTCCGTATAGGATAGAGTTTCGAATCGTCGGAGGACGAATATTTTCTGTGAAAATTTCTTGGACATTCGGGCCTGTAAATGTTGTTTAATACTGTTTATTATAAACAGAGCATTTACTTAAATATTTGTATCTATAAAAAGAATGTATAAACATATATATATATATATATATAACAAATTTGTGATTGGTGGGATAATTTCAAGGAGGATATTAATCCAAAGAGAGATCAATGTAAACTAGAGAGCATTATAATTAATAACGAATCAAGAAGAAAAACTTAAAGATCCATTTCAATATATTAATCTCCTAAGATAATTAAGAACGTTTGGACTGAACAGATGATTATATAGAAATATTCATGAAATAAATTATAATCGAAATGCATAATTAAGGTTTCCTTCTTGATTCATTCAGGCTGTATATATATATATATATATATATATATATATATATATATATATATATATATATATATATATATCAGGATTATATATGTAAGAATTTAACCTAATTTCAGAAAATAACTATTCTCGTATATATATATATATATATATATATATATATATATGGATTATATATGTAAGAATTTAACCTAATTTCAGAAAATAACTATTTATTATATATATATATATATATATATATATATATATATATATATATATATATATATTATATGATTATATGCATAAATTTTTTTCAGAAAATAACTACTCTCATATATATATATATATATATATATATATATATATATATATATCAGGATTATATACATAAGAATTTAACCTAATTTCAGCAAATAACTACTCTCTTAGAGTGTTGAAGGCTTGTTTTGAATGCAGGGTTAACCTCCTCCTAAATTTGTTGCTACGCAAGGCTATCGGATCAAGTCTGTCCTATATTCAACCATAGCTTGGGGGAGAAGAGATATATTCATACCAGGCACTAGGGTATATACACGTAAGTATAGCACTCGACATCAATGTCCACTTTCATTTATATATATGGAGTATCAAAAATAATTTTACAAACTTTGAGAGCGGGTTCTTCGCACCAAAACAAGGATAACAGTCAATATAATCATATGTCCACCAACCCCTCGTTTTTCAATTATCAAGTTTAAAATGTTTACGGGAGATGTCGCTGTGTTTGTAGACTAGGTTACATTTGTCATTCGTGTACGTCTGAGGCTACTCTGTATTCAACGTGTGTAATAGTGAGTAAACTGAAAAATGCAATGTTTAACATAGGCAGGATATTCATATGGTGACCAGGCAGATATGATTTTTACATATGTTTGCGCGAATGGTAATGGACGCGAGGCTGCACGGCTGTATCAGATTTCGTTTCCAGACAGAAGCTAGCCGTATCATTCACACTTTGCTGCTGTTTATCGTCGCGTTGCTGAGGTAGGATCTGCAGCACCGCAAACTATGGATCGAAGAAAACTGAGATCCGCAGGTAGGCATGACCACCCTAAGAACACATTCTACAGGCTATCGGAAACGATCCATATCCAGTGGCTCTAGCATGTCGTACGGCGCATAGTATCGCACGGAGGGTATTTTTAGCGTAGTATATATATATATATATATATATATATATATATATATTATATATTTGAACTTTATTCAATCCTTTATGAGCTTCCGATCATTAGCTATTATTAGTTAATGATGAACATATCATTTTCGTTTATGATCGATTTCATCACGATTGTTCCGCTAAGCTTGGAGAGTAATTATGCATTCTTATTGGTCTAGGGTAGAGTCTAATTGTTTTATAAAAATCTCGGAAAATTCCAGTAAGATATCTTTAATCATTTCTCAGATATAACGTTTCAGAGATTAATCTTACAATTGGAGAATTTTGCTTTTAAACGATTTAGACAATTTTGCTGTTACACCAGTTTATCTCTCTCTCTCTCTCTCTCTCTATATATATATATATATATATATATATATATATATACGCGAACACACACACATACACACACACAGATATATATATATATATATATATATATATATATATATATATATATATAACAATTTCAGGTTTCGGTCGTCAGATCTGATGCGGTAGTTTGAATTATTGCGCCCCCCCTCACTCATCGTAAAAAATCTCAGCGCATTTTCTTTACATACGGGTTTGGCTTGCAATTTGACCTGAAGAAGCCGTGAGCAACAGTCGTTCGACGAAACGCGTCGCATATAGCTTTTTCACATTGTCACTTTGTTTCATCATCTCCACCCTTGTTTCTGAAAGTATTAAGCATCCTGCAAACACACGCTTGCACACACACACACACACGCTCGCACACACACACGCACAAACACGCATACGCACACAGCCCCCCACAAACAACCACCCACTCACACACACACACATATATATATATATATGTTTGGTCCTTTGAAAATCCACGCAAGCCATGTTTCTTTTACGGCGATGTGCCATGATGGCGTTATTATTTCAGTGACGATGTTGCTTCTCTAAACACCTGTTCCCGTCTTTACGTGTCTCTACGCAACAACAGCTCAATTCGACTTTCCTCATTTGATTTGACTGTATTATTGTAATCATTTTATTCTGATACCGCTAAATCTCTTCGAGCAGATGGCTTTTTTCAGCTTTCTGGGCGCGCTCGTTTCAGCCGCACCCTTCCTTCACCTACAACGCCCCTCCGCGTCCAATCACGATACCACTGTCCCCCCCTCCCCCAACATCAACCACAACGACTTTCAGCTGCTCAATTTCCTTGTTACATTTTATTCTTTTTTTCTTCATTTTTGTTAGTTTTCCTCTTTTCCCCCACTTCCACCTTGATCTTAATCATTGAAGTGTTCCTTTCTTTTCCCCCGCTTTTTGCCTTAGTACTTCTCTTTCAACAGGCGCTTGTGACAGAGCTTCAGCGAGAAAACTCATCTTGATCCCTCTTTGCTAGAGATAGAACCCTCAATTGATACCAAAAGATTCATGTCATTGAAAAAAGCTGAGTAAATATCTAATCAAAAATGCATAGCATTTCAGATGTAGAATGTTACAAGCTTATAAAAGTGTCTATTGCAAATGTCGCAAATTTCTTTCGGAAATTAGAATGTGCGCTATGAATGGACTGAAATATGTCTTTATATTCCATTTGTAAGGAGAAAGTTTCACCTTTGTCCTTCTTTCAACAGGCGCTTACGATAGATCCGTGGCATGAAAACTCATTTGGATCACTATTCGATAGAGATAAAACATCAATGGATACCACAATATTCATGCCAATAAAGTAAGGGCAGTTTAAATATCTGGGAAGCGTTCTGACAGAATACGGTAAATACGACACTAAGACTTATTGGGATGGCCAAGAACGCACTTCATAAGCTGGGCAAAGTATTGCCAGACAGGAGGATTTCTTTGGTAACGAAGAAAAGAATACTGAACTGTTATGTGACATCTATCTTTCTTTAGGGCAGTGAATGATGGACGATTTCTTCAAAGATGAAGAAGAGACTGGAGACAAAAGAAATGTGGTTCTACAGAATGATGCTAAGGATATCATGGACCGAGCGTGTGAGCAACGATCAGCTCTAAGAGAGGATGTAATCAAGAAGGAGGCTTATACTTAACACCAGGAAGAGGCAACTGAAGTTCCTAGGATATATAATGAAGAAGGAGGGCTTGGAGAATCTGATACTCACGGGTCGAATAGAGGGAAAGAGAGACAAGGGAAAACAATGCATGGCAAACCTTGCAACTTTAAACAAGTGGAAGACAGAACGTGGGTCTGTGGGAGGGGTGGCAGAGGGAAGGAACTTGTTGAGAACTGCAAGGGATAGAGGGAAGAGTGGAGAGCCATGATCGCCTAGGTCCTGAAAGGATACAGCACATAGAAAGAAAAGTGTAAGCATCTATCGAAAAGAGATTTTTTCTTTTACTCAAGATTTTTGATTGAATGATGAGGTTTTACGACTTATCCAAACTTGTGAGTTATTTAAGGTCGCAATATATTTTGAAATGTAAGGATAATTGAATATTTACATTAATGTTGTTTTGTGAATAACAATGATTTTTCATATACATTCCATTATTTAACCCATAGATGAAGGGTACCCAAGGGGATTTGGCCGTAAGTGATATTTAACGAACCCGACTAGAATTCGAAATCGCTTCTCTGATTTCCCATTACATGCCTTTATCCATTGTGCCACCATTTGCACGTCCTCATTTTTTTTTACCAAGAATTGCTAATTTTTGGAACAATCTCCGTCTCTTCAAGTTTATGTTCCACCGTTATCTATCCTATTCTCATCATCCGCAATTTTGTTGATGCTCCCTTGAAACAGACAATTTTAACCTCTTCAAGTCATGGTTCAGTTGCTATCTATCCACCTTAACCTCCTAATATTCACTTCCTTCTCCCCCCTCTTACGTTCATATCACATTTCTTATTCAGTAGCCCTCTACCTTGAGTGGCTCTTGAGAGTTGGATTAAATTAACTTCATTATATAAAAAACAAAAAAAAAAAAAAAAAAAAAAAAAAAACGATAAATACAGTCACCAGAATTCAAGGTCCGAGTATTGATGAAAGCAAGAATTTTGCATATTTTTAGATTAGGTAGACACTCTTTTGAAAGATTGTTCCAAGAAATATTCCTTTAGCTTTTCTCTTGTTGTGCAGTCTATTCATGGCATAGCTAATTATTTACTAATTTTATCTTAGTTTTGGAACAGATCAATATGAAGTACTGATGGTTGATCTCAATACTATGTATTCGCTAGCCTAGGTCGTTAACCGTTACTGTTACAGTACACACTTTTGTATCAATTTAAAATAATATTTGTACCATTTTTGTTTAATTTTAGATTATTTTTAATGTAATCACAGATTTGATACGATAGATAATGCTGTTCATTATAAAAGATGGCATTAGGTTGGTGGATTGTATGGCAGGAACCTTGTTGTGTCAATTAATATTGAAATCTGTTTGTATTATAGACAAACACATGTTTGTATGATAGACAAACACATTGCTCAAGTTAATACTTGAGTCTAAAGGTAAACATTGTTCGGATTTAGAATTGAATCTATAGGTACACACTGACCAAAATTAACCTTAATTCTATAGGTATACACTGACCAGAATTGTACTTGATTCTATCAGTACACACCGATCAACATTTTACTGGATTCTATAAGTACACACTGACCAGGATTGTACTTTAGTCAATATATAAACATTTGGCTGGAATGAAACTTGAATAAACTGAGATTATACTTGATTATATTAGAAAACCTTGTTCGGATTTAAAATGTAATTTTGAAGGTAACAATTCTTCTTAGTAGCACTTAGTAGCGTTTCTTTCTTTAGTAACACTACCACCACAACCCGCTCTCGTTACTCATTCACACAAGCTGATCAGATAGGTGGCTTACTAACTTACCATGTCGCTTTTTCCTTCGATATATCCTGCCACTTCATGCAATTCTCAGCATCCTTCTGTAGACTGACATTTCTCTTGTCCTCAGTTTTCTCCTTATCTATCATGAGATTTTCTTACATTGTATCAATAATATGTACACGAACCCTCGTCCAAAATAATAAAATTTAAATATTTTGCGATTTTGACAATTTTTTTAATAAGACCTAGAAATGCTAACCTCGTCGGACACACTTCATTTCTAAAATAAGCGATACCTAAACTAGCCATGCGGCTTGTTTGGTAAAGTAAAGTCGAAAAACTTGCCAATTATAAAATGAGATTAAGGCCAAGTATTCTAGGCAAGCATGCTCAGTTGCAAGCTATGGAGCTATACGGTTTTTTAATCTAGGATTAATGCCATCCGTGAAGGCTTACGGCCATAACACATTGAAACAACGGTTCCCGTACGTTCACCGAAGTTAAGCAACTGAGATTAGTCAGTACTTTGATGGGTGATCGCTTGTGAATAGCGGGTGTTCTAAGCTTGGATGTGGAGATGGTGTAATGGATAATGGCTCGGAATTGCTAATCAGAGAGCCGAGTTTCAATTCTCGTCGAGTCCATTATATTCTCTCATGGGAAATGTAGGAATCCACTTCTTCTCTCCCCCTGCTATGGGTCAATCAGTAAGACTTGTATAACTGAAAAAAGCATTATTAACTAAAAAGATTCACAATCTGAAATAATATTTTATGTCTTTAAATAATCGGAAAAAAGGTTGATAAGCCGTAGAAAATGAATGAATCTTTCAGTTTAATTTGTGAGTTTGACAGAATTACGAGTTTATCGCCATCATTTCTGGGCCATGTTCAAGCCAAAAGTTACGTTAATATTTCCAGTGGTAATGCTCAAAAGAAAAATAACAGTCTCACCGGATAATGCAATATTCCAACTGCATTGATGCACTTGTAAAGCATATGCGATGCTTTTGTGGTATAACTAAAGATCTAATAAATATTACTTAAAATATTAAAGCAATTTCTGCAATTACTGACATGTACATATGTAGGTCTTGTGCGGGTGTGAGTGTATATGCGTGTGTAGGTATGCGCGCGTGTGTGTGTGTGTGTGCCTGTGCATACGTGACTGGTGTAAGTGTGTGTATATATGTGTATGTGTGTGTATGCATGTGTTTATACATGTGCGTGTGTGTGTGTGTGCATGCGTGAGCGCACGTGTGTGTGCTCGCACACGCGGGTTCTTTCAACTTAATTATTCACCTTGCTAAATGCCTTCTAGTTCTTGCTTCCGCCTTCGACTGGGAAAATAATTCTGATATCAAGAGACCTACTTCGCACCCCCAGCAAAGATGCAGATAAGAAAAGAAGTGACGTCATTGACGTCATGCGCTCGCGTATAATCCTACCTACACGTCACATCTATAAACATGTGCCCTCTTAAGACCAAATTTGGAATTGCGAAGCATCGTGTTCGAACCTGTAAAAGTCGTATGTAAATAAAACAGACTATAAGCCCAACATTACTTAGAAAATTGATTTAGATTACAAAATGCTATTTAAAGAATAAAGCCAACTTTGGCTCATAGCGAAGTTGATTGGACAACAGTATGAATCAAACTAACGTATATCAAACCACGTCCTTAGGAAAGGAATTCTTTTTGGTCGTATTCGGATAATCTTAATCTTTTTAACGTCTTAATGAAGCTTTGTTAATCATTCTACATTTTGTTACTAGTATTAATTTTAGTTTAATCTCAATTAATTTTATTGTAACTAAAATGGTATATTATATCACATGTAGATATCAGAACGAAAGTCAAATGCAGAACATTTTGAAATTTTCTAAAAGATTCCTTTTGTAGGAATTAAATAAGGAAAGTTGATTGTACAAAATCACGCTTTTTTTTTGGCCAGAGAGTCCACGTGTCTATATTTTGAACGAGAAAAGTACTACTTCCTACTGGCTATAGAGATTGCAGGAAAGGAAGTAACAAATGAATGAATGAATGAATGAATGAAAGAATTTCTTCCACAATATAAGATTACATAGGAGTAGTTCTGCTGCTGCTGCAGTTATTACCGTATTTTGCTATAACCACTG